ATCAAGAGAATGGTTTCAGACAACGTGGAGAATATTTTTCCCTAGGGGATCAATAAACTCATAGGAAATGGACTCTGAACATTTTCATGGTTGGAATCTTTAAATTTAGAACCAGAATCATTGCAAACCGGTCAGATCTGGATCTGCTCCTTCAGGGAACACTGTGGGCCCCGTCAGGATTCCTCACTGGTAATCCTGATTGTCATGCAGAAACCATCTCTGCATGCTGGATGAACTTCAGATGCTGTGGGTTGGACCTCTGGGGTGTCGTTTGTGCTCTGAGGTTTAATGAGAAAACAGATCATTCTTCTATAGTCGTCTCTAAAAGTCACTCAGGGAAAGAAATGATCTAAAGTTACTACAAGCTGCTAACATATCCAAACTTTATTTCAGTATAGCTGCAGGGAAAGCCCTCAGGAGGATTGATGACATTGTTCAGATTCACCAGCCTTTCTGTCTGTTTTCCAGATCTGAGCATCCTGGATCATCCCCCCCATCTGAGCTATCGTTCATGTTGAATTCTCCCAACAGTATTGAAATGTTAAATAAAAGAGAAAATAAGAGCACTCATCTTGCAGGCAGAGTATTTCAGGAAGTTTAGGATGATGCAAAGTTAATCCATCAGAACAGGGTCACAAAAGTCTTACAATTTGAAAATGTACAGACACACACACACACACACACACACACACACACACACACACACACACACACACACACACACACACACACACACACACACACACACACACATCCTTGGATTTTGATTAACAAACACAAAAGTAACCCAATAAAGTCTTGACTTGCAAATCTAAATTCATCTTTTGATTTCCTGTTTTCTCATCATGACCTGAGATACATTTGCTAATGACAGTTTCCAGTAAAGGCCTTGCTTCTTCATTTGGAGTATGAAGCAGGTTGAGGTCTAAAAGACTGCTGGTAGTCCTTTCACAGCTAAGTCAATAATAATTCTACTCATAATGGGATTCTGGATGGTTCCACACAACCCACAGCTGATGGTGAAGATGGAAATGGAATAAAGTAAAATGTGAATATCATTTGCCTCTTGGTAATGGGGCAAATACAAGAGGGCTAGCTGTGGGATAAAGAGTTAATGTTAGCAATGTCCTACTCTAATATTCTTTTAAAACAAAAAATATAAAACTTGTTTTTTCAGCTTTCTAAATACCTTCAGAACTGTTGTGTGAGCAATGCAAGCTTTTACTCTGAGTAATGAAGATAAGAGCAGAAAACATTGTTGAACATTAAACTGATGTTGCTCAAAGTGTTTGTCAGTCCAAACAGTGTTTTGTTGGTTTGATGTCTACTTAAGAATTTGCAAAATGTTCCTCATGTTGGATTAAGAAGTACAAGGTGTTCTGCGTGTTTTCAATAAGAATTACTCAGCTAAACCTTTAGTGCCAAATTAACGCAGATTTGAAGGAATTTAAACCAAAATCACAAAAAAGACAGTCTTTTGTCATCTGTCAGATTGCTTGAGGTCATTCAGCACCATATTTGTGCTGCTAGATGTGTTTTGTATGCAGTCTTGTTATGCAAAGAGATCCGCTGCTGCATCCTAAACATAAGATCTATGTGATTTTTTATCTTTCCTAGAGAGTTAGAAGAGGAAAGATGGGCATCCGCCTAGTTTGCATTCTGCACAGGACAAACGATTCAGGGCCTGTCAAGGAAGAGCTTTTTCCTCTGAGGTGCCTTTGAGATCTTGGGAGAAAGAGATGCATGTGAGGAGTTGTGAAGTAGGGTGAACTTCACACTCACCTAATCTTGAGTTTGGATCAGTCTGTCGTTCAGCGGAAGCACCATCTAGCAGACCTGGCACTAATTCAATCACTGATTCTTGATTGGCAGGGGAGCAGGCTGGAGCCGTTGGGAAGCAAAATAAAAAAGTCTCTTTTGTCCTTAAAGGCAGATAGAGGGTAGAAAGACCATGGCATGAGCTGGAGCAGACACAAAGTACACCGCATTAATGGCTGCTGAATAAAAACTTACCACACATCTTTGTTTTTCAGTTCAAACTGTTTTTGAAGCAATCTAATTATTTGCATTTCAAAAGCAGAATGTTTCTAATAAATAAACACTGATTAAAGACACAATCAACTAAATTGATTATTGTGCAATTATTACCTGTTATTTGATTGCTAAAGTCATAGCAGGTATTAAGCACTCACACTCACACACACACACACACACACACACACACACACACACACACACACACACACACACACACACACACACACACACACACACACACTGGTGTGGATCTCCATTGACTTCCATTAATTTTAGTGACTCCACTAACCCATACCTGATTTGGGGCGACGGTGGCACAGGAGATAAGTGCTCGGCCCTGTAATCGGAAGGTTACAGGTTCGGGCCCCGCTCAGTCTGTCGCTGTCGTTGTGTCCTTGGGCAAGACACTTAACCCACGTTGCCTGCTGGTGGTGGTTGGAAGGACTGGTGGCGCCAGTGCTCGACAGCCTCGCCTCTGTCAGTGCGCCCCAGGGCAGCTGTGGCTACATCGTAGCTCATCCCCACCAGTGTGTGAATGTGTGTGTGTGAATGGGTGAATGACTGATTGTGTTGTAAAGCGCCTTGAGGGGTTCCAGGACTCTAGAAGGCGCTATATCAAATACAGGCCATTTACCATACCTTAACCAATGGGGTTTTATTCCTTTCCTTAACCTAAACTAACCTAACTAAAAGCTAATAAACACCATATCTCTAAGATCAAGTTTTAGGATGCTTTACATTGTGTGGACCAGCAAAATGGAAAAATGTCCACACGGTGCAGGTTAAATTTAAAATGTGTCTACTTAAACCTATGAAGTCAAATACACACACACGCACACACATTTAGTGAATCAGTCCTGCAGATCTATCAATTAATTATTTTCTAAGTTGAAATTGTTACATTTTGTAAAATAATCTTTAATTTTTTAACAGCTGAGTCTTTGTCTCGTAGAAAATCTACATGACAGAGAGCTTGCTCGCAGATCAATACATCATACAAAATACACTTAATTGCATCAGCTGCGCAGTGGTTAGAGCTGTTGCCTTGTAGCTAGAAGGTCGTGGGTTCGCTTTCCGGCCTGGGATCTTTCTGCATGGATTTTGCATGTTCTCCCTGTGCATGTGTGGGTTCTCTCCGGGTACTTCGGCTTCCTCGCACAGTCCAAAAACATGACTGTTAGGTTAACTGGTCTGTCTAAATTGTCCTTAGGTGTGTGTGAGTGTGTGTGTGTGCATGATTGTTTGTCCTGTGTGTCTCTGTGTTGCCCTGTGATGGACTGGCTCTCTGTCCAGGGTGTACCCCGCCTGATTGCCCATTGACCGCTGGAGACAGGACCACCCACCACCCCCTACACCCCCCGCGACCCTACATGGACAAGCGGGTTCAGATAACGGATGGATGGATGGATGCATCCTTTGTCTGTTTGACATTATGCACATTATAGTATATTCACATATATTTAAATGCACGATTGAACATTTCTGAAAACTCCTGCTTTAAGAAATTAGGTGTGATGTTTGTTAGATATGTGTAATGGTAGTGCATGTAGCTTTCTTTAAAAATAAACAAACCTTTCAAAATGATGTCATTTTTACTCAAATGTGACTCTTTACTGATAGCTGCAAACTTAAAGAATGTATAAAAAATCAAGTTCCTCCATTTAGAGAATTTTTTTCCCTTCACAAAAAACAAATATGTGCTTTTTTTCTTTATTTTATTAAGTTAGATTTATTATTAATATTATTTTGTCCTTTTATTTATGTGCTTAGTGGTGCTGTAATAAATGCCTGGAACACCAAACATTTTAAGTTGTTTTCTTACATTTAGTAAGAAAATTTAAAATCTCATTGAGAGTTTGAAACAAATAATCACTAAAAATAAAATAAATGTGAAATGTAATTCCCAAAATATAATGGAATAAAACCAAACTAACAGAACAACTAATTCCAGTTTTGGTTCTTTTTAAAACACAGATAAGGTTTTGCTTTACCTTGCTGACAGTTTCGTTTGCGGCTGCAAACATCCCCAGAGCTGACGCTGATGGTGGCGTCACTTCCTACTCCGTTTATCCGCGGGCAGCAGAGGACGTTGTCGCCCTCTGCTGCCCGCTCTCCCCTCTCCGATGATGCAGTCCTATGCGCGATCCAATAAGTAAACTCCATCGTCTCTGTTCATGGTCCCACATCCACGTCTCCTTATCTCTATGGCTTCCTTTATCCATCTTTTGTATTTCTGTTGTTTGGTGTTTATGATCCTTGTGTTGTCCTAGTCCATTATATGGTTTTCTCTTGTGCAGTGATCTGTTACGGCTGACTATTGTGTTTTCTGCTTCTTGTTTTGCTGCTCTTGTGTGTTTTCAACTTGTTTCTTTCTCGCACTCCTTTCTATGTTCTATTGTTCGTGTGTTGAGTTGGCGTCCGGTTTCTCCTATGTATGTTTTATAGCAGAGTTTGCATGGGATTTCGTAAATGACTCCACATTTAAGTCCAGCTGGTATCTTGTCTTTTGGGTGTACTAGTCTGTTTCTTACTGTTGTGTATGGTTTTGTTGGTGTGTTTATGTTGTGTTTTTTCATTGTTGCTCTTATTTTTTCTGTTAGAAAAAGAACCAAAAATGGAATTAGAAGACAAACCCAGCAAGAACGTACAAAAGATGTTTAAACAGAACAACATTCATTCACTCCAGTAAATATAAACTTAAAAAATGAGTTCTCTAAATATTTTCAGTGTTCGTTTAGAATTGAGTCTCCAGAAATAAAAAATACTTAGTTTGATGAAGGAACAAATAAAAATGGAGAAATAAAATAATAAAAGTATTCATTTGACTGGGAGAATTTAACTAAACAATTAAAAAACACTTCTTTGTGTTTCTGAAATTCCTTCATTTTTACTCTCACTTTAACAGTAACTGGATTTGATTGAGGTGGATGTCTCTAATCACTTGTCTATTTGTTTCCTTTCAGGAGGGTCACTCAGGCCAGCTGCTGGTCTTAGGGGCCACTAACAGACCCCAGGCCCTCGACCCCGCCCTACGAAGGCCCGGACGCTTCGACAAGGAGCTGGAGGTACGTTCTACCAGGCAGCAATAATTACTTATTTTCAGTGAAGCAATAAAATATTTCACAAAACTCTTCTATAAATGTTACTTAAAAAATGCATTTGGCAGGTGGGAGTTCCTGGCTTTGCAGAGCGAGCAGATATTTTACAGAAGCAGCTGAGTTTGGTGTCATGCAGCGCCACCAAGGAGGAGCTGACGCAGCTGGCGGACAGAGCACACGGATACGTGGGAGCAGATCTCGCAGCTGTTTGTAAAGAAGCAGGCAAGTGAAAGCTGCTGCTAAGAGTCTGAAATCTTTAGCTGCACCAACACACCTGATTCAGTCACCTCTTCAGCGTATTCAGAGTTCTTCAGAAGCCTGTTGATCACCTTTTCATTAAAACTAGGTGTGTTGGTGTGGGATACTGAGGTCCAGTCCCAATACCCACACTGCAGCCTACGGCCCTCTGCAGAATGCACTAGGATGAAGTGCTTGTAAGGCTTTGAGTGCGTAGTAAACAAGTATGCAAATAAGTGCTGAATTGGGACAGTGGGCATTGCGCACTTTGTGTGACTCTGCAATCTGCTGCTTTAAATAATATAAAAATTGAACAATATTAAAACATGTTCAAAAATACAAACCGGCACTGTTATTAGTAGGTTAATGTGTCTTTCCAACACAGGAACATTCTATTATAATCATATATGTACACAATAATAAAATATTCAATATTAAGATATCTAAACTTGAAAATACATACATGGAAAGGGCACTTGAGCAGTTTCTCTGGCTTCTCTAAATTCCCACACAGCAATGGATTGTAGTTAATATCAAATCTGCAAAGTGCAAATCAAGGGTGCAAAAGGGGAGGGGCCAAGGTATTAGGCTTGGGTGGCATTAACCGGTGTTAAAAAAATAACAATGGTGTCAATTCCAATGCAGTCATGAAAAAAGCAGTGCACATAGGAGACAAGGAATAAAAAATAAATAAAAGTCATTTAATGTATAAAAACGGATGCGTGGTTAGATTTTCTGTTGTACATAAATAGTTTAAAATGTTTTGTCCAACGTTTAGAGATGTTCCATAAAGTTTATGAACGTGATTTCATCACGCTGAGAAAAGTGGCAGCTCGTGCACCAGCTGACTAGATGCCTAAAAGGACCGCAGTCTTCTGATTGGAGCCTGTTATTAAAAGAGACGACAACCCGCTTTTCTGGTGGAAAATGTGCAGCCAGCCTTTCCCAGATGTTGTTGCAACTAGTCCCAAAGTATTCATGTATCTGCCACAAGCTCATCGAAGCGGGCTTTCAGCAGTCGGTCCCCAACATTCTACAGGGTATCCGCGGGTCCTTAAAAAGTCTTAAATTTGCTTTTCCAAATTTAAGGCCTTAAAAATCCTTAAAAATTACTAATAATCCTTAAATACAGTTTCCAAAGGTCTTAAATTACCAAAGACCCAACAGACAAGATTATTTTATTTCAATTTTCAAGAATTTCTAGTTAGTGTTCAGCATTTTTTGTGTACGATGTTGGCGTAAGCGGAACCGTACACATTCATAGCAGCTCCAGACCCATCTCTAAACTTCCGTTTGTAAAGAATGAGTCGTTTACATCTTATTTATGAACCATAAGATATGAGATTCCTTAGAATTATGAAATATCAATCTGATGGAACTTTGACTATTTTAACCAGAAGATCTGAAATTTTTATTGCGGGGATTAAGCGACACTTCGTATTAACTCCAAGGAAAGACAGAGTCAGGTTTAAAATAGTTGAGACATTTATTTCTACACAATTTAAACAACACTAACACTCTGTGTACTGATGGACTAAGGTGGAGTGAGACGTGAGATGATGGTGGTGTGTGTGTGGGATGTTATTCAGAACCAGCGGATCCAGAGAAGCAGTTAGTTCTGAGTGGGAGTGAATGTTTCGCTCTAAACTTTAGTAGGAGACTTATAACACACATGAAACGCCATCTGTTGGTCTACATACCCAGGGGAAGCCTCCATTCAGATCCAGAATGCCGAGGTCCTCGTGGACCCTCTTTGGTACCGAAGCCGGTAGAAAAGCAGTGGGGCTGACCAATCTAGTCTTGGAGTGCTTCCAGGTCACGACAGGTTATCACTGGCGTCTCCGAGACCCTGAAGGGGTCGTGAGGTTCAGCTTTTATTCTGAAGGAACCATTGTGGTCAGGTGTAACTTGCAACAGATTTTATCCAGCTTGTCTGAGGTTCTTTATGGCTGAAGAGGAAGTCTGGATGGCCTGTCCGAGACTCCTCTGGAACGCTTGAACTAAAGAAAATGTGTCGTGGGATAGTTTTTATAATTGTCATATTTTGGTTTACTGGCGAATCAGAATTTGACATGCCAAAAGAGGGTTTATACAAACACCACAGAAAACCACACCTAGCCCCAGAAACAAAGGTTCTGATTGGGTGAGACAAAAGAAAATGTGTCGTGTGACTTTAGCATTACGTGTCTTTATTGTCTAGTGCAAATGTCCAGGATTATAACATCAAGTAAAATCCTACTGATCACAGGATTATGATATCAAGTAATAACATTGTCATTTCACAGATTGATTGAACATTGAGCTCACATTATTACTGGTAATTAACAAAGTTGTTGATTATGTATTTATCAGAATAGTTTTTGTCTTCGGTTGCTGGCAGTTCAGATGAGCAGAGTGCATGAAAGACCTTGGCCACTATCTCATGTAGATTAGGCTGTCAGAGACTTTATGTCTCTGCTCGAGCAGACACAGCAGATCATGACCTTTAGGTCAAAAACAGGACATTCATGACACTACACGTTCATCTCCAAGATCTTGGAAAAGGTTGTGGCTAAACAACTCACAGCTGCTCTTGATGAACATAACGTCTATGATAGCTTCCAGTCAGGTTTTCATAGAGCTCATTCTACTGAAACAGCTCTTCTTAGGGTCTCTAATGACCTTCTGACTCACAGTGATGCAGGGGACTGTTCTGTTCTGGTCCTGCTGGACCTGACTGCAGTCTTTGACGCTGTTGACCATCACCTGCTACTGGAGAGGCTGAGAGACTGGGCAGGCCTATCTGGAACATCAGCAGGACCAGGAAAAAGGCAGTGAATATTGTCCAAGATGCCACACATCCTGCATCTACTCTCTTCCATCTCCTCCCATCTGGCAGACGCTATAGATCACTGTACAAAATAACTACCAGACACAAGAACAGTTTCTTTCCTTCACAGCCATTTCTCTCCTGAATCTGTAGATTCTTTTACCATCCTTTTACTATAGTTTTTAATTCTTAATCAGTATGCTTATGGATGTGTGTGTGTGTGAGTGTGTGTTTGTGCATGCGTGTGTGTGTGTATGTATATATGTGTGTGTGTAAATGAACATGTGTGTGGGTATACATGTTCTTATGTGTTTTTAGGTATTTTTATTCTTCATTTATTATGGTTGTTGTATGTTTTAGAGAGTGAACATCTACCGAAGACAAATTCCTTGTAAATGTAATTTTACTTGGCCAATAAATCTGAAATCTGAATCTGAAATCTGAAATCTGAACTGCTCTTGAGTGGTTCTCCTCTTATCTTTCTGAGCGCTCCTTTTCTGTGGCCGTCTCTAAGTTTAGGTCCTCCACCACCTATCTTACCCATGGTGTCCCACAAGGTTCTGTGCTGGGGCCTCTGCTCTTCCTCCTCTATCTGCTTCCTCTTCAGCACATCCTGAGCTCCATCAAAGGAATCTCCTACCATCTTTATGCAGATGACATCCAACTGTACATCTCCTTTAAGCCCCATGAGATGTCTAAGCTGCAGCTGTTACACACCTGCTTAGGCTATCAAAACCTGGATGGCTGGGAGCTTTCTACAGCTGAATGAAGATAAGACTGAGATCCTCATCTGTGCCCCAGACAAGCTGGTTCCCAAAGTGAGAGACTCTCGGTCAGCTTGCTTCTCACACCAAACCTTCCGTCAGGAATCTTGGCGTGACCTTTGACCCAGCTCTCACCCTGGATTCTCATGTCAGTTCTCTTGTTCGCTCTTCCTTCTTCCATCTCAGGAGCATTGCTAAGCTGAGTCCCATTCTGTCCTGCTCTGAACTTGAGACCATTATCCACACCTTCATCTCCTCACGCTTAGACTACTGTAACTCTCTTTTCACGTGTCTGAGCAGAACCTCCCTGAACCGTCTACAGGTGGTTCAGAATGCCTGTGCTCGGATTCTGACCAAGTCCTCCAAACCCACCCACATCACCCCGCTTCTCTTCTAGCTTCACTGGCTGCCAGTCAATTTCAGGGTTCATTTCAAGATCCTGGTTCTGGTCTATAGGGCCTTACATGGACAAGCACCATCTTACATTGGTGATCTTCTTAGTCCCTACACCCCCAGCAGGTCCCTGAGGTCCAGTGATCAAAGCCTACTGGTCGTGCAGCGCACCAGGCTAAAGACCAATGGTGACAGATCATTTGCTGCTGTGGCCCCCAGACTCTGGAACTCTCTCCCCCTGAGCCTGAGATCAGTGGACTCAGTGGTCTCCTTTAAACAGCAGCTGCTGAAGACTCACTTGTTCAAGCTGGCTTTTGTATGACCTTCTTCACCACTCTCTCTTTATTCTGCTCTCCCCACCTATTCCACCTTCCTCAGGATCCACTGATTTCCCTCTTTGCTATTCACTCTCTCTCTTTCTTAACATTTTTTATTGCAATTGTCTATTTTTTGCTCATTTTAAATATATTTTAACCATTTTATATTTTTACATTTTTTGTTTTTGTGAAGTGCCTCGTGATTTTTATCTTGAGAGGTGCTGTAGACATTATATTTTCTTCTTCTTCTTCTTCTTCTTCTTCTTCTTCTTCTTCTTCTTCTTCTTCTTCTTCTTCTTCTTCTTCTTCAATGGATGCATGCAGGTAAGGTGGCCCTGGAGGACCAAGATTAAATGGCTCTGGTCCAAATGATTTTAAACATCATAAAAAATAACAGTCAAGGTTATAGAAACTCCTATTTTTATACACTTTTTAGAGAAATGTGTCTAATTCTAAAAGTGTGTCATGTTTTACAGATTTTTGCTGCTGATTTTAGTCCTAGATTCATAAACAGGAAAGCCACTGAAACCAAGGGCCTGTCTGGATACCACGAAAAACAACTTCTTAAGATTAATTTCCTTGTTACATTTCCTGGAAAAAATAGAACAGTTTTGAAAATCATGACAGATTGTATTTTCTCACTCCTTTTTTTTTTTTTTTTTTTACTGTTTTGCCTCAACGTCCAACCAACAGATAAATATG